GCTTCTGGATGCCCTTGATGTCTGGCCAGTGAAGAATTAGGTATTTACTATACTTGCTTGAACCTGTTCTTTTTGAAAAGGCTTTTCAGATACTCAAAGGGAATTGAGCTGTATTAGTATTGGGGGGTTCTCCAAGCCAGTAATGTTGTGACTCTTGTAGATTCCTGGGAGTATCACCTTGGTGAGCTTGGGTAAGAGACAGGAGAACTCTCTGGATTACCAGGCAAATTCTCTCACTCTCTTTCCTTACTTCCTCAAGGCCACCAGCACCCCCTCATTCCTAAAGCCAGCCTAGCCTCACTCAAAACCAGTGTGATGACTGTTGCCTGGATATTTCTGATATTTATTCAAAGCCCAAGGCTCTTTAGTCAGCAGGTTTTGAATTGTTTCAGGATTGAGTCTCACCCTTCAAGGCAGCATGTTTCTTTCTGGCACAGGGTGTATCTAAAAATCCTGTCTAGGAATTAAGATCTGGACACAGGGCCTCAGGAGTCTGCTTGGCACTTTGACTGTGGTTGAACTGGTACCCAAAGGAAGTTGCTCTTCCCCTTTCCTTAGTTGGAAGCTCCTCCCTTTCCTGAGCCATGCTGCCTTTATGGGGGGTGGGGGGAGCAGGGTGAAACAGGCCCTGGCTTGGTCTCAGCTGCTGTTGTCTCACTCGGTCATGTGCACACCAAGTCTGAGCTCACAGTAATTTCCCAAGTGTTAGCCTCCTTCAAGTGGAGGCTTTTCCAGGTTTTTGGTGCTTGTTGGGAGAAAAGAATTTTAGGATGCACCACATAAGCCAAGAGAGCAACTTTTTATAAAAGATTGAAAGCGGCTCGGCGCCTATAGCTCAACCGGCTAAGGCGCCAGCCACGTACACCTAAGGTGGCGGGTTTGAATCCCCAGCCCAGACCCGCCAAAACAACAATGACGGCTGCAACCAAAAAATAGCCGGGCGTTGTGGCGGGCGCCTGTGGTCCCAGCTACTTGGGAGGCGGAGGCAGGAGACTCGCTTGAGCCCAGGAGTTGGAGGTTGCTGTGAGCTGTAATGCCATAGCACTCTACCCAGGGGGACAGCTTGAGGCTCTGTCTCAAAAAAAAAAAAAAAAAAGATTGAAAGCAAAAGCATGCTTGTAAGAGAAGGGAGTGGGCAGGCTTAAAAAGAGAAGCTGCCCATGAGGAAGTGGTTTTGATCTTTTGAAATCTAACTAATGAGGAGAGGAATATTCAAGACTAAGGCATTGGCTTTTATTAAGAATTTGTGCAGTAATTTCTAGAATTGGGTTCTCTTTCATTTTCATACTTTGTATGGATATATGGTTGTTTCTGAACTGTCATGGTGATTTCAGGGGCAGAGAAATTTTAAAACCATAATGTAAATGGTATTATAATTAGCCAAAGTTCCTGTAAAGTCACAGAGATAGCCTCTGATTATTGGCCCCCCTATTTAGCTTCTTCCCCACTGTTGTTTATTTAACAACTGTAGCACTCTTTATCTGGTTTCAGCCTTGTCTCCTGGTCTTCTATTCTGACACAAGGACTGCAGCCCTTGTGGCCTGACTGCCTTATGAGTTTAGTTCAGGCCTCCAGGTTCCCCTTTTTCTGCTGGTGGTAGGGGTAGCAGGAACTCAAGTTCTGAGGGAAGAGGATTTCCCTCTGCCTGGGCTGGTCATAATGCTCCCTCCCTGGCCACCAGCAGAATTCTGCCCTGTGCTATTGTTCCCTTGTGCCAGGGTGACCCTGAGGTTCAATGCAAAGCCCCACAATCACTTCACTCTCTCTCCCTGGGCATACAGATTCTCTCTCCACTCAGGGTGCTAGCAAGACACTAACAGGGGCATGGAGAGGGGTGCTATGACTGTCTTTTCTACCCCCTTCAGGCTTCTTTTCTTGGCATTATGTTAAAGCCAGGTAGTATGATTGTTCACCTGAATTTTGGTTCTTCCAATTTTGCTTGTTTGTGTGGTTAAGTTGTTGAACTAGGTGTTTTTGTGGAAGGACAGTGGCTTGAGGTTTCTATTCAGCTATCTTGTTCCAAGAACTCTCCATTTTTAATTTTTTGAGGAACTGCCAAACTGTTTTCCATAGAGGCTGAACAATTTTACATTACTACTTACAATACATTCCCCTAGCCATTTTCTTTCTCTTTCCCCCTTCCTCTTTCTCTCCTCATTTCCTCTGTTTTGGCCTCTTCCCCCTTTCTTTGGTTCAGTCCCACTCCCTAGCTTTCCTAGGTCACAAAGTTAAGAGTTTTGAAATAGATTCTGATGCAGTCAGTTGCTTGGAATGTGTTGTTGTGGTTCAGCAGTTTTCTCAATATAGGTAGATGTAATTCTGTGATTTGGTAAGAATTCAGATTGAAATGAAGAAAGAATGCCTTACTATATTAGTGCCCTGTCAGGAATTCCAAAACCTCTTTCCAGACAGTTGAAATCCTTGGGCTGTTCTGATGCTCAACCAGGTTGTCAGATCTCTTTTAATTTTAATTAATTAATTTTAAGAGACCCTATGGATGTATCTACGTTCTAATTCCCTGAAGGAGATAATTTTTCTAGGGTTTCTGTGGTACTAGTAGAGCCTGGAATACAGTCTTAGAGGCAGTTGGAATGTTGCTCTACTACTGCCTCTGCATTTTCTGAGTAGTTGTGCTGCTTATAGAGATCTGATTACAATGAACATTTAGGTGTGAGAAGTTCACATTAGATGTCAGCATCATTTTAGTTAGAGTGCCAGGAAGAGTTGTTGCTCAGTTAGTGGATGTGCTCATTATTTTGGGAAAGGACTACCAAAAACTGGTATTTTGGGAAGGTTGTCCTGATATGTTAAGAGCCTCTGATTTTTTTTTTTTTTTGATTCATTAGGTGCTTAAATGGGTTTTCTGTTTTCTTTGAAACTTTGAGCTTTCCATTTGCAAACATTTTGTTATTTAATGGCCTTAAACAACTGCTGATTATTAGACATTGAGAAATTTGCAAACTTAAGTATTTTTTCTCCTATTAGAATTAAGTTTTCTGTTCTATTGTGATTTTTGTGTTTACCATGGCATTGTATAACATGCAAACTTATCAGAGTCTTACATAATATTAATCAATATCTTTACCCACACCTATGATAGTAAAAAAACTGTAGAACAATTAAGTTTATTTACCTGATTTATGCTAATATTTTAAAGTATTTTACTCCTGTAAAATTGAAAATAAAACACACAAGATAAATATTCTGTTTTGTAGCAACATCACTTTTATTTGTATTTACCATTTTTGCTCTTTTTTTCATTTTGTATCTTTGACCTTAGTCTGGATTATTTTCCTTCTATTAGAAGTATGTTTTTTTATATTGCACTTAGTTATAACCTTTAAGTTAGTGAACTTTTACTGGGAAAAGAAATGTGTATTTGTCTTTCTTCTCAAAAGACATTTTAGAAGGGTATAGAATTAAAATTGGTTGGCAATTGTTTTGTTTTCGTCCTTACATTGATGATAGCATGTTTCTTGTCTGGATTCTCTTGTTGCTATTAAGAAGCTATTAGTCTAACTTTGCTCCTTTGAAGGCAATCTGTATTTTTTCTGGCTGCTTTTAAAATTTTGCCTTTGTTTTTCTGCAGTTATTAATTTGATTGCCAGTGTGGATTTTTTGTTTACCTTAGAATTTGTTAGGCTATTTTAATCTTTGCATTGATGTCTTTCATTGGTTCTGGTACAGCTTTAGCCAGTGGCTCTGAAAGTGTCGTATCTTTGCCCTTTTCTCCTTATAGAGCAAGTTTTCTTGAACTTGTGTTGGATTTGTCTTGTTAGATCGTTTGTGTCTCTTACTCTTTTTCATGTTTATTCTCTTTGTTTCTTCATGCTACATTCTGGATAGTTTCTTTTGGCCTATGCTATGGTTTGAATGTCTCCTCCAAAACTCCTGTTGAAATTTAATTGCCATTATAACAGTAGTAGGGGATGGGACCTTTGGTGATTAGGCCATGAGGACTCTGCTATCACGGTTGGAATTAATACTCTTAGAAAAGGGCAAGTTTGGTCACTTCCCACTCCCTCTTACTCTTTCACAACTCAGTGACACAGTAAGAAGGCCCTTGCCAAATGTAGGTGACTTGAACTTTCAAACCTCTGAGTCAGTAAATTTCAGGTCCTTTTAAGTTACCTGACTTCAGGTATTCTGTGATAGCAGCACAAAACCGACGAAGACAGCCTACTTTAGTGTTTAGTAGTTCTCTCTTTAGCTATGTCTAATCTCCTGTTAAACGTATCTGTTGACTTCCTAAGTCAATATATTTTTTCTGCTCTGGATTTTTTTGTGTTCTCTTTTAAATATGCTAGGTACTTTTGTACAGTTTCTAGCTCAGAAGTTTCAACTATGTCTTTTATATCTTAGAACATGGTAAGCATATTCATTTTAAAGTCTATGTTGGGTAATTCCAAAATATGAAGTTGAAGAGTGTCCATTTCTGTGTCTTTGTTTGTTTTGTTGTTTAGTGTCTATTTCTTGCTCATAGTTATCTTTGTATGTTGGCAATTATATTTTAAAAATGTATTTGTATAGTTGCTTTGGTCTACAAACCTAGAATGTAGCCTGTTCAGAAGGGCTTTTAGATTTTTTTCTGTTAAGCATCTGGAGGTGCTACCAGTTTAGAATCATTGCAATGCAAATTTAAGGCCTGAGGTTTTTAGACTACCTCAGTGTCATGAAACTGGGTTTATATCAGAGTTTGTATAACCCTTTGGGGTATCCCCTTAAAGTTGTTGATAGTTAAGGAAAGTAGCCAATAAATAATTTATTTTTGCTATGAATGTTTTATGGCAAAAGCAACCTTGAGTGCTATGCCTTTTATTTAGATTTTGACTCATTTTGTTCCTTTTTGTGGTTTTAAGATAGTTTTTGTATTTCATTGGTATTTTGTAATTTTTCACTGCAGAGTTCATTTTTTTAACGAAGCCTGCCATTAATAGAGGTGGAAACCTTTTCTTTAACCTATATTTAAATGTGTCTTGATGTTTGTTTGATTTTTGTAGGTTCTACATGAAACATTTCCTCAACATACATTCCTTATGAATGGTCTCATTCAAGGTGTGAAGGTAAGAACAATTTTTGTGTTTATAGTGAACCAAAGCCAGGAATCTTTAGTAGTTTAACTCTGGAGGTTTAGGTGGGTGGGACATAAGGAAATAATTACTATTTGTTCTGGAGACTGAAACATAAAACTTAAAGCTGGGTTACTAACATCAGAATAAAATTCAGTTTAATGAGGTGAGACCATTATAGAGTGGTTTATTGGCAAAAACAGTGTACTACCTTCATTTTTATTAATGTGTGTATCACAGTTAACCGATTTAATTATTATGTGAACTTTTAGCTGCTCTGCCTATCACCAGGTTAAAATTGCTGCTATCTTCTTTTTATTTTATTTTTTAAACTTTCATTTATTTTGGTTTTTTTTTAATTGTCTTTTTTGTAAATAGACTTTGAGAATAAGAGAGAAGGAAACATTAGGATTTAGTTGGATATTTAGTCTTTTAGTTAGGCTGAAAGTCATGGGTAGTCTTCTAGCCATGACTTGAGTACTTGACCACTTGATTTATTTAGCCTTAGTTAAGTCATTTCAATTTTAATATGATGTATATCAGAAAAGGGGGTTAAAACATAACTGTTACAGTCTCACTTTATAGTATATGGGTATATGTTCTAATTTGTCCTTGCCACTTGAGATAATGTCAGTCTGTGCTTAATTATAATTTGTACTGAACAACACACTTAAAATTATGCCCTAGTAATTTGGTGAATTCAGCCATAGTAATTTGTTAGATTAACAGCTTTAAGCAAAATTTGTTGTGGTGAATATTATTTATTCTATCCTTAAATAAATATTAAGGATAATATCCTTAAAATAAATATTATTTATTTTAATAAATTAAATAAATAATAAACAAATAAATTTATATATAAATAATATAAATTTATATATAAATAAATAAATATTATTTATTTTAATAAATTATTATTTTAATAATTTAAATAATAAATATTATTTATTTTATCCTTAAATCTCAAAAAGATTTAAGGATACTTATGACATACGCAAAACAGAACAATTTAAATAAAGGTTGAATCTGAAGTTTTTAAATACTTATGAGAGGAAGAGGAATATCATCAAGAATCTGGTGTAAGGTTGAGTACCCGTTTATAAGTAGTGTAATGAAATGCTAAATTAATGAGCAACAACACTGATAAAGACATAATCTAAGTTTAATCTTGTAGTAGATTCTCAAAGAAATTACTGTACAAATCTTTTGTCTTGTGGGGAAACTGATAGAATTGTTTTAATGTGTTCTGTAAAATAAAACCAACTAAGTCTACACCCTAAAGATAAGCAGCATGCTATGCTTTTACCTATGGTCATCTACAATTTTATTCCAGAAAATACAAAAGATATTTCACTTTGTTCAAGGATTTGGCTAAGTACTTAGTGAACTTCAATAACTACTGAACTTCGATTATTGAACGTGTAGAACTTAAATACTTTAATAATTGGTTATTTTTTCAAGGGTGAGGGTATAAAGATAGAACTCTATAGTAAGATGTAACTATTTAATAGTATGCATATAGTGCACTAGAATAAATATGGCCTCTGGTTTGTTCGCTTTAAATCCCTTCTCCGCACTGTATGAACTGTTATTGTATTCAAATAATTTAACCTCTCATTTTATCTTGAAATAGGAAAGATGAAAATACTTTCTAGTAGAGTGATTGTGAGCTTTAAATAAGATGGTATATGTAAAGCTGTTAACACAGTGCATTTATGTGCTAAATAATAAATGAACATTATAAAGAAGAATGTTGGCTCGGCGCCTGTGGCTCAACCGGCTAGGGCGCCAGCCACGTACACCTGAGGTGGCAGGTTCGAATCCCCAGCCCGGACCCACCAAACAACAATGATGGCTGCAACCAAAAAATGGCCGGGCGTTGTGGCGGGCGCCTGTGGTCCCAGCTACTTGGGAGGTGGAGGCAGGAGACTCGCTTGAGCCCAGGAGTTGGAGGTTGCTGTGAGCGTGATGCCATGGCACTCTACCCAGGGGGATAGCTTGAGGCTCCATCTCAAAAAAAAAGAAAAATGTTAAAAACAAAACTAAACGATTAGAATGAAATATTGGTAAACATTTTTCTTATCAATTTGAGGAAGGATTTAGTTTTTTTTTTTTTTTTTTAGAAAATGAATTTATGAAAGAACAGATTGAGTTAGTAACACCAATGTTTTAAACTTGGGTAAGTCAAAGTAACCATCATCAATACTAAAAGAGAAATTTAAAAATATTATTTGTAAATATATAACAGAAGAAGGAGTACTATTCTTGACATAGAAGTGCTGTTAAAGTAAAAACATAAGAAAATGATTAATGTCAAAGAAGATCAGAAAAGGACATAGCTGGCAGCTTTTTATAAAAGATGTCAGTATAAAAATAAGTTCATCACGGACAGCACCTATGACTCAAAGGAGTAGGGTGCGGGCCCCATATGCCAAAAGTGGCGGGTTCAAACCCAGTGGCAGCCAAAAACTACAAAAGAAAAATAAGTTCATCACTAGTAAGCTAAAAAGCCCAGAGAGCGGAGCCAAGAGGCTAATGGTGGCGTCCACGAGACCCACTGAAGAGGTAGTTAAGGAGGCCGCTGCAGAAGAGGACCCACGAGTTTTGGAACCTGGGGCTGCCCCCTTCTGAAATTTCCCTCATTATTCTCGCTTCCATCCTCCAGAGCAACCGCTCTGCCTCCTGCCGCCAGAGGTGCTTCTACGGCTCTTACCGCCTCAGAGTCCCAAGACAAGGCCAATCCTGGGGCTCGATGTGGAGTGTAACTCCGGGGATTTGAGTGTGGCCCTATACAAATACTTCCTTTCCCTACATGATGGGGAGACCTGCTTAGATGCCTCAAGAGAACTCCGTCTCCTCTGCTGTGACATAGATCCAGTCTTGGAGCGAGCTGAAAAAGAATGTCCTTTTCCTGATGCCTTGACCTTTATCATCCTAGACTTCATGAATCAAAGGACCCGCAAGGTTCTTTTGAACTCTTTCTTAAGCCAATTTGGACGTTCAGTTTTTGACATTGGTTTCTGCATGTCAGTGACCATGTGGATTCATCTAAACCATGGGGACCATGGCCTGTGGGAGTTCCTGGCCCATCTTTCCTCCCTATGCCGCTATCTCCTTGTGGAGCCCCAGCCTCGGAAGTGTTACCGGGCAGCTGCAAGGTGTCTCCAAAAGCTGGGACTCCATGATTTTGACCACTTCCATTCCCTTGCCATCCGAGGTGATATGGCCAATCAGATTGTACAGATCTTGACCCAGGACCATGGCATGGAATTAGTATGTTCCTTTGGCAACACTAGTTGGGACCGAAGCCTTCTGCTCTTTAGGACAAAACAAACTACAGAGACTCTTCCAATCCCTGAATCACTGACAGAGAGGGGAAAGAAAAGAACAGATTAAGATTCTGAAGGCAGGCTCAGCACCTATAGCTCAACCGGCTAAGGCGCCAGCCACGTACACCTAAGGTGGCGGGTTCGAATCCCCAGCCC